GTGATGCATAAAATAAAAATTGTCCTTGAATTCCTTAGTCCAGTGGAGAATTTAGGTAGGCAAACAGATTATTAGAGTACCGTGTGCAAGGTGCTATAATAGAGGACGTGTATACAGTGCTGTCAGAGCCCAGTGAGAGGGTATGTCTTCCTGGAGTAGTTGGGGGAAGGTTCTAATGACAAATGATATTTGAGTTGATTCTTGGAGTTTGCCGGGTTGAGAGTGAAAGGAAAGGAACATTCTTTATAGAAAGAATACTCTTGAATGATCTTAGGAACTTGTACAATCTCAAAACTAGGTGATTAACATCCACTGAACTTTTCAACTCAAATATCATGTGGTTAGTGGGCCTCTGGTGGGTACTTGCAGGCAGCAACTTGATGATTAAATTCTCTCAGATGCCTACAGTGTGGGTATTGTGGTATATGGTCAAAGCCATATCGATGGGATTGATGCATGAAAGAAAGGAAAGGAGAGCCATGTCACAGACACCACTAAGCATGGGTACAGCAGAGTTGTCACTGTGTTAGGAAAACTTGGAAGTTGATTTGTATCTTCAGCCAACTAGGAGAGCGATCCATTTTTATAAAGGCAGCAAAGGAACTGGAGATAGAACCAATATTTTTCTCAGAAAAGAACGTGAACTTCTATGAATTACCTGCACAAACATTTAGCTTGGACTCCAGAGTCCTGCCCTGTATAGCATAAGAAGAATGAGTTCGCTCTAAATAGTAGTTTAAAAGGAGTTATTAGCAGCTAATCACAACATCCCTGAACTTTAGCCAGGCCCCTGTGGAGTGTGTAATTTTAAATAGAGCTACTTCCTCGTGGTCCCTGCAGAATTATTAGGCTGAGCAATGTATGCCTGAGCAGCACAGAGGCTTGACCTGTGGAAGGGGTTATTTTTAGATGCTTGGTGAATGATTACCAAGTGCAATTTTACCTTAGGTGTATTAATGTTGAGCTACTTCTGACAGCAACTAGTCCATTAGACTCAAAAAGAAACTTCTTAAGACTCTTCTTGTTCAGAGAATGCAGACCTTTCTTCCGACCCCCAGAACCGTGTAACTATAAATCTGCCTGACTGTTCTCTTGTCTCAGCTATCTCAGACCTACACAAGGTCATTGAGAAACCTCATTCTTCACCACCACCTCCGGATTTATGCTGCCTTTTGCTGTGCCCTTCTTTTGAGGTGTACCACCATTCACCTAGCGACTCAAGCCAGAAACAAGGGACTAATTTTTGCCCTTAAGTTTAAACCAGTCAGTTTCACTTGCTATTTCTGACATCTATGCATTTTTCTCCATTGACGGGCCGTCAGTCTCATCCAAGCTGCCATCATTCACTTGAAGTAATGCCCTGGCCTCCTTCATGGCTTCCCACGTTTCACTTTTGCTATTTCTAATCAGTTCTCCACATAGCACCTGTGGTGTGAAACAACTCGATTACGTTATTTCCCTGCTTAAAAGCCTTCAGTGGCTTCGCGTGCACTTTCGATAAACTATACTGATGCTGGCCTGGGCGTGATAGGGCTTTGACTCACCTCTCCAACTTCATCTTTCCCTCATTCTCTCTCTCACTTTCTCTCTGGCCGCGCTGGCTTTCCTTCAGCTCTTTGAACGTACAGAGCTTTTTCCTGCCTTGGAGTCCTCCTGTTTCCTCTGCCCACTGTGCTTTTGTCCACTTTTTACCTGGCTGACTCCTTCTCATTTTTTTAGGATTCATATTAATTGTTACTTTTTCCTGACAAGTCTTTCCAGACCATCTGTATGAAATCTACCCTCCGATAACCTCTCTCAAGACTTACGAGAGTTTTAAAAGCATCGTTTGTTTCTTCTGTGTCTCCCCACTTTAATATAATGCTCCATGGGGACCGTGTCTGTTTGGTTTCCCACCGTACCATGTAGCGTGTTGCACGGTGCTGGTACACGGGCAGTAATTCATAAACGGTTGCCGAATGAAAGACTGTCATCAAAATAAGTTGGTCTGGAAGGAGCATCTTGCCTTTGTCTTTGCAGTCAGTAACAGGAGGGCTGGCATCTAATTCCTGTAACAGTGTTTGCAGAGTGCTTCTGCAGGAGTGTCTAGTAGAGTACTCATAGAAGCTCATAAGTTATTTGCCATTTGCCCTTTTGCTTTCTGCAAAAAGAGCTTGGTGGCACAGAGTTTGTCCTTGCGAGTCTCACAGACTAAGTTTAGGTTCTGTTTTTGTTCCTGTAAAGCTGTGCAACCTTAAGCAACTTAACATAGTTCTCCCAAGTGTGTTAACCCATATATTAAATGTGGAAAATTATATCTATTGTATATGCTTATTATGAAGATTAAATGAGATTACATATGCACAGGGACTAATACAGAGTTTGGCACCTTGTAGGAGTTCAGGCATTCTTGTCTTATTTCCTTTATATCTCAACAGATTAATGAGGACTCAGGGGGAAAAAAAACTCATTTAACTTACCTTGTAATCTTATTGTTCTCACTTAATGCATAATCATACCCAGGGGCACTAACCTAAGGGTCAGAACAGCTTAAGAGAAAAAAACTCCATCCGTAGAGTGCAAATAAGCAATGATGGACTGGCTATTTGACAGTAAATAACATTAGACTTCCTCAGAAAAATACACATGTAATTCTCCTTTGCCTTATCCCTGGGGTTATTGGTTAACATTGTTAAATTGTAATGACTAATAATTATAGGTAGATATTTTCCATGCTGGTTCAAGTAGATATTCCATAGAGAGAGGTCATGTGAATACATTTTCCCATTTTAAATATTCCTATATCTAAGAAGCCTTGGCAGTACCATTGAAAACTGTGGAATCTAGTGCTCTTCAAATTGTCAGCTTTGAAGGTAATATAAAAGATTAAATATTCTGAAGACAGGTTATTAGTTTTAAAATCTGATGAGTTAGAGTCAACAGGTGGTAGATACACGTAAGCCATACCAATCTGGATGTTAGCCTGAGTTGAAGGGAAAATGCTTGGGTTAAATCTATCAAAATCACCAAAGACTGATTCTCTGCCACTTAATCAGGATCCAGCAATAGCACTATTAGGCATCTACCCAAAGGAACAAAACTCATTCTATAATAAAGACATCTGCACTTGAATGTTTATGGTAGCACAATTCACTATAGCAAGGATGTGGAAACAACCCAAGTGCCCGTCAATCCGTGAGCGGATTAATAAAATATGGTACATGTATACAATGGAATATTACTCAAATTATAAAAAGTGATGGTGATCTAGCACCTCTTATATTTTCCTGGATAGAGCTTGAGCCCATCCTCTGAAGTGAGGTTACACAAGAACAGAAGAATAGGCTCCGCATGTACTCGCCATCAAATTGGCACTGACTGATCAACACTGAGGTGCTCACACAGTAGTAATATTCTTTGGGGGTTGGGGGTGGGTAGACTCACAACTAATGGACGTGGTGAGCATTGTAGAGGGGGAAGAGCACACCTCAAATCATGGTTGGGATGTGGCAAGGTCATAACATGTAACCAAAATGTTTGTACCCCCATAATATCCTGAAATAAAAAAATTAAAAAGATTTCATGGTAACGAGGGTATAAGGAAGCTGCAAGGTGAAGAAGCAGTCAAATCCTCTGCCTTCTTGGTTCTAACCAGTTGGAACCTGTCCTATCCCCCATCCTATTTTGATCAGGTGGTCTGAGACCTCCTGACTCAGTTAAGCAATGCCCGCCAGTTCCCTATCTCAATTACATTTGTTGCTATCATCCCTTCTAACAGTAATGTTGCCTTTCAATAAGAAATGTAAGGCCAGAGTGCCTTGAATCAATCATCTAATAAATTGTTTCCCAAACTGTGAAAAAAAACATAAATTTGTTTCATTCTATGACATGAGACAGTAACCACTGCAAGGGGAATTGTTTCTCTCAAGCCAAGTCCTTCAGAGAGCTGGGGGCTTGAACATTAGAAGTTTAAGATGTTGATATTTTTCTACTCAAATATTGACCCAGACAAGGAGCTGCATTGTTTATTTAGGGATAGGTATGATTTAGAGTGTTGATGCTGGGGGATAGACAGGATGATTAATAGACATGGTCCATTAATTGACTGCTTAGCTCATTTGTGTGGAGCATGGGAAGGTTGGGGAGGCCAAAGGAACAGACCTGAGTTCCTTCTGGGGCCTTCTCACTCTGCCTGTTCCGTTACTAAAGATCTCACCTCAGACCCTAACCAAGGATCTTGAAAATGTGCATGGTTGGTCATTTGGGACATTACACTCATGTCACGTGCATGCACCCAGGCAAAATCCCTGACTGACACTGAGGAAGGCGTGCTGAGTTAACGGGGCTGGGGAGGGTGGTGGTGGTTTTGTGAGTGCTGATGTCTGGACAGCTCAGTTCATGGTCCGTTTCTCACTGCAAACTCAACTTCATAAATCAGTGTAGCTAAACTGAGAATTGTGTGATGAATGTTAATAACATACATCCTGAAGGAAGACTCACAGAAGGGACAAAAAACAGTTACATCATTGTCATGTTTTTGTTGTTTAAAAACATTTTTTTCTTTTACTCAATGGTTGTTTCTCAAAGCAAGTCAAGATTAAATCTATCAGTGGTTTTGGTCATCGAGTTTTATTTTGCGTTTGGTGGGGCTACTGTGCTTTAAAAAGAAATCCGGCTGTCACTTTGTGAGCAACCCCTCCTGACTCTTCCCCTGAGTGGAAAGGGAGCCTGCTGTTAAATGAAGAAACAAGGCATCACCTTTGCTAAGAGGCAAGTTTGATTGTTCAAAGCAGACCATCTCACACACCCCAACATAGAACTTCAGAGGTTCCCTCCTCCCGTTTAAGCAATTTGATGTTTAAATGACTTCCCATGGTATTTTGGCTTAATGAGACACTATGAATTGGAAGAAAGTCATGAACGAGCCACAGCATTATTCTTTGGTCTGCCTGTGAGTTACCCATTTGCAGCCTGTTGTGGAATGTAACAAATCATTTCTCTCTCTCTCTGTTTTTAAACAGAATGCCATGAACCTACCTCCTGACAAAGCCAGGTTACTGCGGCAGTATGACAATGAGAAAAAATGGGAACTGATTTGTGATCAGGTAAGAAACAGTGATGCTTTTATTAAGGAAGTAATGAAAGGAGAACCAGATTTCCCACCTAAATATGTTGGACTTTTTCCAGGAGATGCGTGGATTTCTGTTTGTCGTTTTTTGCCTTCCTATTTCTTATCACCAAAGGAAAAGCTAGAAAATGATTTCTTTGATTATTCCATTATTTTAGTTCTTTTTTATTTTCAAACATTTTGCAGTTAGATTCTCTGGGAAGTCTGATCAGAGAGCAAACTAAATTCAGATGGAATCTTTCTCTGTTTACCTTATGTAGCAGTTTATGTTGCTTGAATCATGCAGGTTCTCTAATTGGCTTTCCTATTCATGTAAATTGATGTATATTCACACAAGAAGGTGAATTATTTATGAAAAGTTGCTTTAGGCTGATAAAATTATTTCAGATTTTAACAATTCTCCAGCTGTTCTTATCATTAACTCATAACAAATTCAGACTCTTCAGAGGGATATAATATAAAAAGTGGAATTTTTCATTTTCTTTGCACCCTCCAAATTCTACACCTTAGTGGTCCACTGGTGAGACATTGAAGTATCTCCTTCCAGCTTTTTTCTCCTTTTTCTGTTTGTAAAAAACAGAAAATGTGATTATACATACATGTACACAGTCTTTTGCATCTTGATACATGTGCCAGTATATATGTCTCCACCTCATTCTTTTCAGTGGATGTGGAATTCCATTGGTAGTGATTTTTGGTACTTTGTTGTAGGGCTAACTACAGGCTAGTTGTAATCCCTGGAAGGATCACTCTTGAATGTAGGGACCAAGTCTCTGTGTATTACTACCTCTTTTATTTTGTGCCATGAACTTCGTGGTGGTTGCGAGCTTGCACCTGCTGCCACCCTGAAAGTTTCTGAGGAATGTTATAATTCCTTCTAACGCAGCTTCCTTGGGTCTCTGCCGTGGGGACAAATGTGTCTGGAGCAGAGGGATTTTTCTGTCCCCTGTAGGTAGAAGAAGGTTCATGTTCCCTAAGAAGTAGATGCACTTTGTTTACATAAAGCTTCTGAAGCACTCATACGTTGTTTTACCTTAGTGCCTAAACTAAAGCAGTAACGGAATGGTGGTAAATTCACCCTCTTTTTTCCACGCCATGCATGAGCACTAAGAGTAGGTAGAAACAGAAGAAAAAAGCTTACTGTGTATGTGACTGTGGTGCAAAAGAAGTAAGAATTTGCTGACCCTTATCTCCTTTCTTGAGACTTAATGAGTGTTATCTAAACCTGGTATTGCAAGGAAAAATGATTTTATATAATGACAATGAAAAACGATAATAGGGATAATTAACATAAGGGAAAGGTAATCATACAAATGAGGGAGGTGAAAAATTTGAAAGCGTAACAGGTTATGAGAGAAGAGAACAGAGGCCAAGTGCAAAGGTTGGCTGCCTGTGGGGGTCGTTTGTTAGCACTGTGAGGGCTCACGGTCCTTCCTTCCCTCTCATCCCTTCCTTTCCTCCTCCCCTCCTCCCTCCCCTCCCCCAGACCGGCAGGATTCACTGGCGACCATGCTCCTGCTACTTCTGTTCCTTTCTGCTGGTCTGGTCTTCATGTGCTTTCTCCACCCTGAAGTGGCTCCCTCAATTCTGAGGTGTCATGGGTGATTCATTGACAATAGTTAGAGTAGTAGTATTGCCAATAGCCAGCATTTAGTAAGCCGATTATCTTAAGAGCTTTGTATTTAATCTTTATTTTTATTTATTTATTTTTGAGACAGTCTCACTCTGTTGCCTGGGTTAGACTGCCGTGGTGTCAGCCTAGCTCACGACAACCTCAAACTCCTCAGCTCAAGTGATCCTCCTGCCTCAGCCTCCCAAGTAGCTGGGACTACAGGCGCTCGCCACCATACCCAGCTAATTTTTTCTATTTTTAGTAGAGATGGGGTCTCACTCTTGCTCAGACTGGTAACTCCTGACCTCAAGCAATCCTCCTGCCACGGCCTCCCAGAGTGCTAGGATTATGGGCGTGAGCCACTGCACCAGGCCCATTTAATCTTTAAAGCAATCATACTTGTTAGTGTCTCCATTTGACATGAGGGCAAAACTGAGACTTGGAAGTTAAATCATTGGCCACAAGTCACATGGCTGGTAAGTGGTAGAGTGACAGGGGCAGACTTGGTGTCTCTTTACCACCACTCTCCGTTACCTTCCTCATAAGATTCCAGAGTATGTGAGTGATACACTCAAAATAAAGGTGGTTTCCGTTTCTCTGACTTGCATTCTGGTGTGTTTTCCTGAGAGGGAGAGAAAGCTGGGAGTTGTAGCTCAGCCAGTGAGCCTAACCTACTTTCATTAACCACTGTGATGAACCCGCATTGTCGTTTAACCAATAGTCATTGTGAGAATTGTGGCCAGCAGAAAATTGAACTTTTGTTGCATATGGGTAACCCATGGGTGTGTCATACATGTGAATATCATATATCCTATGTTTGTGAGGGCAAAGATAAAAACCGTGAACTGGGGCTGGGTGTGGCGGCCCATGCTTACAATCCTAGTACTTTGGGAGGCTGAGGTGAGAGGGTTGCTGGAGGCCAGGAGTTCAAGACCAACTTGAGCAACATAGCGAGACCCATCTCTACAAAAAATAGAAAAAAAATTAGCTGGGCATGGTGAAGCACGCTTGTAGTCCCAGCTACTTGGGAGGCTGAGGCAGGAGGATCACTCGAGCTCAGGAGTTTGAGGTTGCAGTGAGCTATGATGATGCCACTGCACTCTAACCCAGGAGACAGAGCAAGACCCTGTCTCATAAAAACAAAACAAACAAACAAAAAAAACCCATGAACTGAAAACATTCATAATGTACCATTCATATGGCAATTATAACATATTGATGTTTATTGACTGAAGGTTTACCTGTTATATAATATATATATACACACCATGTTATATATTAATGTATATTTTTGGTACCTACCTAGATCTGTTGATGGTATCTAACCTGACAGACACTCAAGATGTTTGATTTATGTGAAATGTGCAGAAGAGGAAAATTCATAGAGACAGAAAGTAGATGAGTGGTTGCCAAGGACTGGGAAGCGGGTGTGAGGGAAGGACTGTTGAGGGGAATAGGGGTTTCTTTTTGGAGTGATGGAAATGAGAGTTGCACAGCTTTGTGAATATACTAAAATCGTACACTTAAAAGTGTGAATTTTATGGTATGTGAATTATATCTTGATTGAAAAACAAGATACTTGCTCCTGTAGCAGTCGGGGATAGGAAAAAGAGAGGGGAGGAGAACTTCAGAAATGTTTGTTTATGTGGATCTTCTTTGGACCTCAGTTTGAACAAACTAATTATAAAAAGACTTCGTGAGAAAATTGGGGATATTTGATTAGTGACTGAGATGATTCTAAGAAATTGTTCATTTTTTGGGAGTTTGATTTTAGCTTTGTGATTATATGAGAATCTGTCCTTATTTTTTAAGAAATGTGTACTGGTGGTGTGGGTGGTGTGTGACTAGAGTTTGCTTTAAAATACTTCATCAAAGGAAAAGAAGAGAGAAATAAGGAAAAGAGGAAATCTGGAAAATCCTTTAATTGTTAAATATTTGTTTTGAGATATGTTGGGGTCTTTATAATACTCTTAACTTCGTGTATGTTTGAAAATTCATTATCTAAAATTAAAAATAAAGAGAGTTGCTACTTAATGATCTTCATTTTCCCTCATCTGTAAAATGTAGCTAATATTAACATCCTTAAATTATTTTGAGGACTGGGGCCATCTGTGTAAAGTATATAGAATAATACCTGGCACATAGTAGGTGCTTCTGAAATTCTGTGGCTGCTGCTGCTGAAGGGCCCAGATATTATATAATACTACTGCTGTTATTATTTTTATTAATCAACCTGTCCTCAGAAGATTCAGGGAAATTTATCACATCAAATCTACCATCGTCTGTTATCCAAACATACTTTATGGTTTGAATACATGTATGATACTGTCAGAAATGCTTCAGCTGTAAATTTTCAGTCTGAGAAAATACCAGGGCACATCTCTTATTTGTGAAGCCTTTAAACTGTGACTGTAGGGTGTTGTCATTGATATCTGACATACAAGACGCCGCTGACCCCGATGCTTTGTGCACAAACAGTATATTGAATACAGATATTTTATTTCTTTTTAAGCAAATAAGACAGATGTATTATCTGTTACTTAGGATACATATTATAGGTAGGATGTACAAAGTGATAAGTAGCGTTAAAGAAATTTATTTCCAAAAGGAAGTGTATAAATACCAGTGTTGAAGGACCAATGAAGAAATTATTTTAGGTTTCAGTTCCATGAAAAATTATATGGACACTATGAATCATGGAACTGGTCATGGTTCTCCTTTTTTTCCTTGGCTGGTGGAATGCTCAGAGCCAAATTTGCGGCCTGCCCTTACCAACTATACAGTATCTTAATGACATGTATTTTGTTTATCAACTTCATCCATGGCTTCATCTAAGTTTTCCTGCCCACATTTTCCTTCTACACTGATTTCCTCACTGAAAAACAAAAACAAAAACAAACAAAAAAAACTTGTGTGAAATTCTTAACTTTTGTAAGTCATCTTTTTGAACAAGATAACTATATCAGCATTGACAGTGAACAAAGATTATACTTGGATTAATAACTGAACTTAAATTTATGCTGTAGGCTTTGTGCAAATTGGTGCATTGAATCTGCTATGCTTTTCCCTAAGCAAGCAAATATGGCATGTCACAATGAATGCTTTATCATGATGTGACTTAGGAGAGTTGCTTGAGTTGAATACAATTCATCATTTAATTTGGGACACCAACTTTTCCAATACTTTCCTGTGGTAGCGTTAGTCTGTCACTTTGTGTTGTATTTGTTTAAATACGTCTCCTTCCAGAGTGAGTTCCTTTAGGGTATGGGATACGTGTCATTTGTTTGGGTACCTCCAACAACTTCCTTAGTGCCTGAAGCATAAGTGCTTATTGAAAGTGTGCTGAATGAAAGAAAAGTGGCCGA